CTCCCGTAGTCCAAGTACACAAGCTGCCCTGCTTGAGAGCTCATCTCAACCGGCTATGGCTAAGCCGCGAGTGGACCCGTACACACCTTTGGATTTCCCCTTCACTCCAATCTCAATCTCTCGATCTGTCCCAGTCTTGGAATCCTTGAGGGATACCTTAAGCACTAGAGTTAACACTAGAGCCCCGTTACTCAGCAAAGCCACTATTGCGATAACCAGCGCCAGTCCAATCAACCAGGGGGCGCTGAACCGACTGGCTCAACACGGCAGACGCAGTTGCAAGCTGTAGGCTCTGCCTTCTCACTGGACAGCCCCCCAACCACAAACCAACCACAAAAGCAGCCGCTCCCAAGGCGCTTGTCGTTGTGTCCATGGCACCCTTACCTGGTGGTGAAGGTCTTGAGTAACAAGACGGCCACATTCGAACTGACCTGCCTGGTACCATCGGACAAAAGCCTGCTGCAAGCAGGAAGAATATATACATATGTAAATGCGCTTTCATGTGTTTGCTCTCTCGTACCTGCGCTCTTTCATATCTGCGCTCTCTGCTCACATGGGTGTGTATTAGAATAGAGGAGGACCCCGGTAGGACTCCCTGGAAGAAGGGAAATGGACCAAAACCCACGGGGGAATCCCTATTAAAATACGGACCATATCTGTGCTCTGACGTGTGAATGTGTGTGGTTCCTGTCATGTGTGTGCGCACGCTCTCACCTGTGCTCTCATATGTGCGCTCTCTCTCTCTCTCTCTCACATATGTGCTCTTATGCGTGTGTGTGTGTGTAACCCTTGGAATCATAGGGATCCTTTTGGATTTTAGCAGGGGGTAGCGGCAGATCATTTGGGACCGCTACCAATGAAGACGCCCATTTGATCTGGTGATATCGGAGTTGGCCACTCCGACGTACCTGCTTCGAACTTTTGAACTTCCTTGTAAAGGGCTAATGCAGCTGCAGTCACGCACGGAACGCCGTCACTCTGTCGGATCGACTTCGTCGCTTTGGCGCTTGCGCTTTGGGCCTCCTTTCCTTTTAAGACCTCCAGGATTCGATGGTTTCCTACTGGTACTCTTAGGAAATGGCAACCCTAGGCCGGCGTGTGGCACCGCATTCAGTTCAGTACACAATATCCTAAGTGTGTTTGGCCTTGTGCCAACCCGGGATGAGCCCGCAGAGTGCCTCCCGTGGACCCGTCGAACGGGTGTACGTCGCTGTTTCCCTTGCTCTGGAAACGTAAGTGCCCACAGCGGGCGAAGGTGGCCTAGGCCGTACGTACGAAGATTTTGTCCCATCTTTGGAATTCCAAGTTGGCTCATGCCTTTACGTGACCGTAGCGGTCAAAGGTGGCAGCCCCTGGGCAAGCCGTACGTGGTCGCAGCGACCGAAGTCTGTTCAAGGTTCTTTGGAACCTGTCGAGCACTTAGCCCCCCTTCTCCCCCTTCCCTCCCCCGTTCTTTCTTTGCTTTCTGGGGTTTTCCTGAACGCAATACTCAGGATCACCCCTCTCTTTCTTGGGTGTGTCCCTGGACGATTGTTCGTCCTTCCTTCCTCTCTTCACCCTCTTCCCTGGGTGTCCCTGGATGCTTCGTCATAGCTGGGAGCCCTTCTTTTTGGTGTGTCCCTGGACGCATGTGTCGTAGCTGGGAGCACCTTTGTCTCCTTCTTTCTTTCCCTCTCTTTTCTTCCTCCCCCTGCCCCCTCTTTCCTCGCGCGCGGCGTGTTTACAAGCAAACTAGGCTTCTGCAACAGGTTTTTCTAATGAGGTTTGGTTTGTCATCGGTTTGTCCCCGTTCATTTGGTTTCCCTTTCATCGGCCCCCACAGACGGTTTTTTTCCTTTTTTTTCCTCTTTTCTTTCATGTCTTTCTGTCTTCATGTCTCTTCATCCTCATCCTTTCTTTCTCTTGCGTGCACTTTCGTCCGGACCTTAGTTTGTACACATACACGCACGCGTACTTTACTTACAGCGAGGTTCAGGTGGCCCAGGTTCGTTACAATGAGGTTTGGCTCATCGGTTGTCCCTCTTCACTTGGTTCCTTTTCATCGGCAACCACACACACCTTTGTCTGTCTTGTCCTTCTCATTTTCATCTGTCCCTTTTGCGTGCACATGCGCCTACCTCCTTTCCGGGCAGGATGGAGGTCACACATGCCTCCCTTCGGGGAGGCGTGTGTGTGTAACCCTTGGAATCATAGGGATCCTGTTGGATTTTAGCAGGGGGTAGCGGCAGATCATTTGGGACCGCTACCAATGAAGACGCCCATTTGATCTGGTGATATCGGAGTTGGCCACTCCGACGTACCTGCTTCGAACTTTTGAACTTCCTTGTAAAGGGCTAATGCAGCTGCAGTCACGCACGGAACGCCGTCACTCTGTCGGATCGACTTCGTCGCTTTGGTGCTTGCGCTTTGGGCCTCCTTTCCTTTTAAAAACCTCCAGGATTCGATGGTTTCCTACTGGTACTCTTAGGAAATGGAACCCTAGGCCGGCGTGTGGCACCGCATTCAGTTCAGTACACAATATCCTAAGTGTGTGTGCTCTCATGCGTTTGCTCTCTCACGCCTGTGTGCTTCTGAGCCTCTGTGTGTGTGTCCTGTCATGTGTGTGTCCTGTCATGTGTGTAACCCTTGGAGTCACGGGAGGATTGGAGCTTGCAGAGGGGCAACCTCGTGAGCATAGCTGGTTGCCCAACGAAGAGGGCTTCGCCACGACTGATATGGAGTCTAACCAACTCCACCTACCTGCTCTTTTGAACGGTTGGTAAAGCTGTGACTCCACTCTCCATAAAGTGCTAATGCGCTCGGCAGATATGAGCGGACGTCATCATTTCGACCAGTCGTCGTTTCGTGGAGTTGGACTCTTGGCCTTTAACTACAGGTGCTCAGGCCCCCTCTTGTCCTGTCAGGATTTTGGTCACCTAGGTTGCCGTGTGGCGTGCGGCATTCAGATCCGCACGCATGTCAATAAGTGTGTCTGACCTTAGTGTCAGCCCAGGGTGACCCCGAAGAGTGGCCGCTGTGGACCCGTTGAACAGGGGTTGTCCATGTTCCCCGCTTTGGGAAGGTAGGTGTCCGGAGCGGACAGCAGGAGGCTTACGCCAAGTTTCTTGCCAAGCTGGACTTCGGGCATGCCTTTGGGTGACCGCAGCGGTCTTCAGCCGCCCGCCATTTTGGCATGGCAAAAGGTGACCAGAGCGGTCAAAGCACTTTTAGGTTCAATCGAAGCTGTCGCAGTCTTAGGTGCACACACAGCGTATACACATAAACGAGGCGAGGTCTACCTAGGTTTTTCCAATGAGGTGTGGTTTCGGCGGTTCCTGGCCCCTCCATTTGGTGTCCTTTTTCATCCTTTCCCCTTCACACACTTTTTCTTTCCTCTTTTCTTTCATGTCTTTCTGCCTTCGTGTTCCGTCATCTCATCTCTTTCCTTCTTTTGCGTACACAACGACCCGGCCCTTAGTATACACGTGCACAACACACTTTTCAACCCAGGTTTCAGGTCGCCCAGGTCTTTGCAATGAGGTGGGGCTCATTGAAGTTCATTGTTTGTCCCTGTGCACTTGGTTCCCCTTCATCGCAACCACGTATACTTTTGTCCTGCTTTGTCCCCTGCTCATGTCTTCATCTTTTCGTCCGCACGCACACATGCACTTCAGTCCTCGCCTTAGATTTTTTAAGCCTCCCCCAGCCGGAGGCGTATGTGTGTATATAAGTCGCCCTTGGAGTCACGGAGATCCTTTAGGATTGGAACCTGCAGGGGGGCAACCTCGTGAGCATAGCTGGTTGCCCAACGAAGAGGCCTATGCCACGACTGAAATGGAGTCTGATCAACTCCACGTACCTGCTCTTTTGAACGGTTGGCAAAGCTGTGACTCCACTCTCCAGTAAAGTGCTAATGCGCTCGGCAGACATGAGCGGACGTCGTCATTTCGACCTGTCGTCGTTTCGTGGAGTTGGACTCTTGGCCTTTAACTACAGGTGCTCAGGCCCCCTCTTGTCCTGTCAGGATTTTGGTTACCTAGGTTGCTGTGTGGCATGTGGCATTCAGATCCGTATGCATTTCAAGAAGTGTGTGTGTGTGTGCGCTCTCATATGTGTGCTTTCATACATGTGCTCTCTTATATTTGTGCTCTTATGTGTGCTCATATGAACCGCTAAGCTAGGACAGCTCCAGCAGAATCCCTGCTCCAGTATACAAGTGTTGGGCTTTTACTACTGAACACTGTTTGGGGTCTCTTGCTGGGGCAAGTGGTTTTAGGAACACCCTGACCATGGGATACCCATGCCCCTATTCTTGAACGTTTACCCCGGTTCTGTGAAGCACTGAGATCAGTCTCAGTACGTCTCAGACTAAATCACTCTCATTTTAGCGATTGAACTGTACTGTACTCATACTTCCGTGGTGTCATCGTGCCCCAACTGCAAGTCATTGCAATTGGAGAGAAGCCAAGGCTCGGCAGCTCAAACTGCACTCAAACAAGTTGGTCGCTCGAAACATCCAAGAAAACTCAGCATTCCGGTTTTCAAACATCAAAGAGCTTCCGAAAATTGAAAGAAGGAGGCCTGGTCCCATCACTCCCTACGGCGTGTCCACACTTTGAAAAGACCAGCACTTGACTCCCTGATACTGTATTCCAAATCGTCCAAACTGTTTGAAAAACTGAGCGCTGGTGCACAGTGGCACGCAGAAAGAGAAGATTTACGCAAGGACAACGATCTACGGTTGCCTTTGTAAGCAACATTTCCGCTGGCAGCAATTGAGAAAAAAACTGTTCAAGTCAGGACATGGTCTAGTGATTGCTTGTTGCGAGTACTACCATGCTGCAAAGGCTGGGTAGGCTCGCTTCTAGTGGTTGGTTCTCTTAGACTCTAGAACTGAGAACAATCAATTTTTGTATGGCGTGCTGCATGGCTTTGGAGGCACGCTACATGTCTCAGAACCACGACCCTTGCCTACTTACTTCCTGTCCAGCCTAACTCTGCTTAGTTTACATGACCACTATGCAGCAACAAGCTTCAAAAGCTTGACAGCGGATCCCCAAGGTTGAAACTTCAAATCAAGTTCTCCTAAAGAGAAGTGCTGCAAGCCACTTGTCTGGGCCTGCAACAGAGCTAAAGCTTCCTTTAAGGTGACGTAGGTGCCTGGATTGCCTCCACAGAAAAGAAATGACAGTTGCCCAGAACTCTGCCCCCCAAAACGAGCTCCACTGCATACTCAAAACAGGCGTTGCATGAATGTTCTTTGTTCGACGCACAACCAAAAGTGGATGTCTAGCTAGTCAAATGAGAAAAATACAGCTGGGGCACTCAGTCAAGCACATCTTACATCCAGCACTTTCATGTGAGGTGCATCACCTCAAGCAACTGAACTCTGAAGCTGGAAGCGTTCAAGGTGGCTCGCAAACTCAAAAATGGTCAAGGCATACACTATTCATTCTTGCACAGTATTTTCTTCATCCAAAGCTTCTGCTCTTCACATTCGTCGTGACCTCCTTCAACCGGTTTCGCAAAGAGAATAATCTATGCTGGCACCACAGCTGTATGATCCAGAATCTTCCTGAGCTGGCTTCTCGTGTTTCTAACTTGAGAGGCCTCTTTTCGAGCTTGGCAAATAAGGTGCCCCTGATTACATGTCTTTCAAATAGCTTAACATACATCTCCTGCTCATGTATTACATGCTTCACGTAAGACTTCTTATAACATCCAGGATTTGTCGTGCTCTTACTCGTCATCTGTGTTTGCTTCACCCAAGGCCTACACTCACCGAAATGTTTTGATGAGCCACACGTTTGAGTTCACGTTGTCAAGTGCCAATCGCCATTGTATGTACATAAGGATGATCAAAAGCCTCGAAGTGAGATCACAATTATATAAATTCATTTGCAATGAAACTCACGCTTGGTTTGCGAGTGCCTGTCCTTTCCAACCAAAGGTTTACAATATGTTTTTTCTGATTTCTTGGAGGTTTAACTTGTCGATATATTCTTTACATTTCTTGGTTTGGCTGGTCGAATCAATAATTGTGCATATCAGTACTTTCTGCACAGGCACAAAGTGAGGACTGCACAGGCAGTGTAAGAACTCGCAACTGCCTCGACAGGAATGAGAGTCCAAATAAATGTCCCGGAGGTTTTGTGTGCATGTGTGTGTATGCATTTCCAAGGAAATGAACATTTGTCTGCAACTCTTGGTTCTGTCTGTATGCTCAACATGCAATAGAAAGCTATCAAAAGCCTCTGCTTCTGCGACCCAATGGCTTCGTTGTGCTGTCTCACCGGCACCCACTTACCTCTAGCCGCTAGCCGCTCCTATCATTCCCGTACAAGTCTCACCCTGACCGACACGCAGACCTTGATGCCCCACACGCCGCCATAGCACAGGCCCTCCACCACGTTCTGTCAGGAAGCGCCATGTCATGGGGAAGCCATGTGTGGCTGGTGTTCACTTGGATCTTCATGAATAAGAAAACAACCTAACAGTAATGGCCTCCAACCTACTAGCATTCACTTGGATCTTCATGAATGAACCAATTGGCCGGCTTCCAACAGGGGCCGACTGTTTTAACAATGGAAGTGAAGTCTTCATTTCAACACCCTTCCTGATATGCATCCCCCATGAAGCCGCATGTAACCCCATTACCGATGGTGGTGATCTTGCTCAGGAAGTTTGAATCCTTAGTAGAAGGTAAGAAATTGAAAGAATGGTTCACTTCTTACTGTGGCTCCAGCATTTACGCGACAAGATTTGAGTTCATTCTGTCATAATGGAGATTTGGACTGGCAGCCACAGCTTCAGTTTCAATACTTGTGCACATGAGTGTGGAACTCTTGTATGACCATACTAAATAATAGTTTCTAGCTCAGAAACGTTCTCTTTTTCTTTTCTGAGGCTTCAACCGGCAAAGCTTTGAGGTCCACCTGAATCTTATTCAAGGCTGCAGTCGTCGATCCATCTAGGCGGGTGAAGACCAAATCCAAATAGCCGCCGTAGTCCTTGCAGAGTGCGCGGCCCTTCGATTGGGGAGCGCGGCCCGACCTCTTCGACCTTGGAGAAGGTGTGGAACACGTGCCGTTGACGGCCCAACAAGTCCCACATGTGCGTGGCACAAACACAAATGGCTATCTCCGGTCCTGCACCAGCTGGACAAAAGCGGCTAGATCACCTTGGCTGAAAAGGCATAAGGTCAACGGTCATTGCATGATCTTTACAACGATAGTGTTTGCACTCGAAGTCAATAGCAGCCCAAGGACAGTCATAGCTGGCAACTGTGAATGTGCCATCAGCATTCTTGCAGTCGCCAGTCCAGGCACCATTCCCAAGTTGAGACATGGAGCTAACCTCAAATGTGTGGTCTTAAGTCACTTCCTCTTCATATTATGCGGAAATCAAAAGACTGGAAAACCGAAATGACTGAGCAAGCAACATCACACGGGACGACTCCATCTCGCATAAAATGATAGCACTTGAAATTTCTGGACCTCATGTCCTGGGAAAATGCAAAACACAAACATTGGTCGACAATGCGTGAGGCAATGTATTTTCCCTGTGGTTTCTCTCCCAGTTCAAGTGCACTCTCAGAATTGCATCAACGCCTTATCTTTGGGACTGTCGAGCTGGAAGAGTCAGCACCAAAAGTTTGACTATACATGTTCGGCACTCTTTGTCGTTAGTTAAGCCGTCTGCACTTTTTGTTCCCAAAAGCACCTGCAAAGAGTTCTCCGTAAAGAATGACTACCAACTTGAACTGTCCAACCAGCAACTGTCCAACCACCACCAGCACCAGCACCAGCACCACCACTACCACCATCATCATCATGAGAAGAAAGGTACAGAGATGCAGGTGATGCACCGGCTATAACACACCTGCATAGCTACAGGTGTTGAGACGCAAAAGTCACCTGTACTACAACTTCAATTTCAACATCTTTCTAGTCTTCTCTCCTCACGAAACGCGACCCTTTGCGGAGATCGTGCGTGCCAGATGCACGAAACTCTGTGACGCTCATCGTTTTGCTCCGACGCAGAGCATGGGCAAAGGCGAGTGAACGAAGGAGGCTCCGAGATCTGAGGAGGGAGCACAACCGTTGGTGGGAGGTGGTGAGTGAGGATGTAGATGGACAAAGATCGCAACGAGAGCAAAGCCAAAGATCGCGATGAAACGCGCAGAAGCGCCAGGGGTGAGGACAGCTAAGCGGCTGAGCTACCCCAAGCTAAGACCCGACAACCTCAGTGAACTGTGGCATAAAGTGGCATAAAGGCTTTGAGCCATTTTCGAGTCGATCAGAGTTACACGTCAAATGTGGGTAAAATTGTCTGATCTTTCTCGGGAGGTTGCCCAGATGAACGGGCATCTGCAGCACATACCACAATACCAAACTTTACACGGAGGTCCTCGGGCCATAACATGAGGGTTGTACGAACGGAACCCAGCCCTCCTCCCACGCAGGTTTTCCCCTAGCGTTGCTGCTGTTTCAGCTAGTTGTGACCCATCTGTTCCACACCCGCGAAATTCATGCGGGTGCAAGGAGATTGGTATGAAGTGCCCAGACGACCTGCATTTAATCGCCCTTGTCGGACGACGTGCTGGATCCGGAAGAAGAGCTGTCCTTGGACGTCGGGTGGCATTTAGGGCGCAACTTCTTGTATGACTCATCTGGCCTTTCAGGTGGACGAGTCGTCTTTGCGTAGCTCTTCGAGGCAAATGGCCAGCCGCATGCGGTTCTTTATTGTGAGGGAGATTCACGGAGCTTTACAATGGCCTGATGCCTGACTCCTGAGCAGATATTGTCTACCACCCAGATCTCCCTGTAGACTGGGCGTCCAAAACTATGGCGATCCCTTCCAGTTGGTGACTAGTGTCGGAAGAGTCACGTTCAAGTTGTTAAACTAATCGCTTCAAAACTTCCTGTTCCTTCTTCTGCTCAGCCATTTGCCGAATGAGGTTCTTCCAGCAGTGCTCAAAGCATCTCGAAGTGCCTGGTTGTCACCGACCCTCGACGCTCTTAGCCCAGACCTCGCGACGCGGTCAGCAATCCTTGCAACGGAGATTCAGCAATGTACGTGAGCACAGCGTCAGATCCCCATCTACCTATGAGCTGGATGGTGATGGGGTCCAGACCATGGCAGGTAAGAGTCCTTGCCGCAGTGATGCGAAAGGAATGTCCACTTACCACCCAAGAGCCATCCTTGGCCTTGGACGCCGATCCGGTGTTGTCAATGGCAGTTCTCAGTGTCGCCACCACTCCACGCTTGGAACAATAGGGGCCGCCCGAACAGGGAAACAGGGGGCTGTCAGGTTCCAGTGGCTCACCTCTGTCATGCCAGAAGCACCTCAAGGATTCCACGCGCTCGGTCAACACGTGGAACGGGCAAGGGAGGTCCGTGTCACACACGCACGTCCACGACCTAGTGCAGCCCTTCGCCTTCCAGAGCGCCACCGAGGTCTCGGAGACCGTGATATCGGCCACGTCAATGGCTGATGCCTCAAGCTCTCGTAGCAAGAACATGGTGGCACACACGATCAATGCTTTCACATGCGCTGGTCCTTCAGGATGGTATGGTCCATCCCCCATTCGCAACGTCCTCGTCACAGCAACAAGATCAAACGACTCAGATCTAACCGGGCCTGCAAGACCCCGTAGGACAGATCTCGAGCACTTCTTTGCCACCACATCAAGCCTGTCAGACCAGTCGAATCCCGACATGATATGGAATTCCTTTGCCCGACTGAGGTAGTTCTTGAAGGACTTGTATCCACACAGCTTGAACAGGGCAGAGACTCTGATGATCTTGTGTTCTCTCCAAACCATGTCCTGTGGTAGTCGATCCAGGTGGCCAGTTGAGATTCACGGGCGCGGTTGAGAAGGCATGTATGTCAGTAACAAGGTCAGTGAGCCCCTCCTGTCTGGCCTGCGGTCCACGGGTCATCACGCCATGCACTGAAGGCTTCCCACAGTCGATCATTCTGATCCATCCCTCAATGTCGTCGGAGGGTACGGAAAAGCTCCTTCCCCTCCGAACTCCACCTGCGGTGTGCCGAGGTTGTCTGAACATGGTAATGGCTGCGGATTCGATAAACACATTCTCTCCCCACCGATGCGGGTGCCGAGTCAACGAAGCACGACCAACGAGCGGACAACCGACGCGAGCGACCGAAAAAGAGACGACGGCGGACCCGGCACGAGGTTCCAGTTCCCCCCGTTCCAAAGCGCACAGGCGCAGACTTTTCAGGACACTCAAGGTTGTACGGCCAGTTTTCGGCCAAGCGTGGGCATTAACTTCCTCCACCCTTAAGTGAGTCTGGGTGTACGTGCAGGCAGGTGTGTTCATTCTCCCTCCTTGTGTCTACAGTTGGCTATGCTGGAGAGATGACGAATCTGTGTGGGAGCGTCTTCCACCATGCTAGCTTGCGCGGTGCCGGCATGACCGCTCGCGCTCCGGCTAGTTGCGCTGGCACTGCAAAGACTTTCTTGGGGTCATTGATCCGTGACAGCGCATCACAAACCGTATTGGTCAGACCTGGAATGTGTGTCACAGCTGAGGTCTGCACGTCGCCTTCCCAAGGTCTAAAGCGAACTCACGAGCGATCGGGCTTAAGGCCGCAGAGCCGGCCTTCAAGTTAGCAAACAATGACAGGGCACCCATATTGTCATTTCTGGTCTGAAGGAACACCGGGCAGTGTTCCGCCCATTGCCTGAGTGCAATGAGGCCTGCCAAAGCTTTCCCACACTTGCTGTCCTGCGCAATCACAGAGTGCCAAGATGTTTCCTTCTCTTGCCTTCTGCTTCTCCTCCACTGACAGACTCTTCAAGCCATATACCTTAGGCCTTAGGCCCTGATGTGGACCTCAATGCCTGTGTGCTGCATGGTGGTGACATCACGTAACCATCAAACTCATCCAAAGTCTTTTCAATTCTCTCCCAGACATCTTGGTCCAGCAGATCATGCATCTCAGTGAACTCCTTGTCCACATAGGTCGTCTCCACACCGTGGTCTTTGAGGAATGTCCCCAGACCGTCCGACGGCCTGCGCGGTCCACTGTACAAAAAAAGCACCTTGCCACCAACCTCTCAACTCTGTATTCGACTTGTCAGCAACTGAATTCCGCTCCGGATCAGCATTGCCAGAAATCTCTGTCGTCTGACCCTCATGCAATTGGGAAGCGTTCTGTCAGTAAGGCGGCTTCTTGCCACCTTTGCCCTTCTTGCCGCCTCCCTTCTTTCCTTTTTTTCGCAGCCCTCTTGAAATCCTGGCTCCGGCATCTCTGCGTGCGGGCGCCTTATCGTTGGATGTGATCCCAAACAACGCTCACACTGATGCACTGAGTCCCATGCACGCTGACACCAAATGCCCTGAGATGCTTCCGAACAGGTTCCTTTGTTGAAGTCTGCGCAAAGTTTGTATCCTGTCTACACGATGCTCCAGACCTTCTCGCCATACTTATCATGGAATCTCTCAACGGGTGCCTTGTAACGAAGTAGATTTCCAAGATCCACAGCGTCCAACATCACTAGGACATTTTGCAGAACCGTGTAGGATGCAATCCAATGCGAAATGTTCGCTGGACCATGAAACTCTTGGCTCTTCACAGATCCATCCCTCCCCAGCATCACGCCTGAGAGTTTGACCTTCTTGAGGATGCGCATGCCATATGGTCCAAAGATCGCAAAATCCACATAAGGCACACTGCCTTGGTCCAGAAGATGCTTCACTGCTGTGATTTGTTCCGAAGTGGGTTCAGATTCCTTGGGAATTCTCTCCCCCTTTCCGTAAACCACTTCAAACCGTGCGAACGCCTTTAGGATTTCCTTCTCGTCGGCAAGCAGTATCTCCGTGTCGTCGATCTGGCTGATCACGCTGCTAAGCTTGACTTTTCTTGCAGCTGCTGTTGAACCACTGCTCACTGCCGATCCATGTGGTGTTGTTGAAATTGCCGCTGCCTTCCTTTTAAGGTCTTCAATGGTTTGACCTTGTCCCGCAACAATCCTACAAACATGGCCAATCAACTTCGCCTGACCAAGCTCTGTCAATGTAGGCAGCTTGCTGTACCACCTGCTGCCGGAACCTTTCAGCCTTTGACTGTAGCAGCGTAATCTGCCTCGCTTAAGATGCCAAGCGCTGCCGGTTTTGTATCTGGATTGGCACCTAACAACGCGGCCAGCGACCCAGGGATCGCTTTGTCGTCCGTGAGCTGTGTCTCATCCATGCCAGCGAATGCTAATACATATTTGGCTCCAAGCATCCTTTTGTGTTCATCTTCGGTAGGCTCCATGGGCCGTGATCTCAAAGCCTGATGGCAGTCTGATGCTTGGAAAGGATGCTTTGCAGCACAATGATCTGATGCAGCACCCACACGAGGTACAGAGAACAATCAGGAATGCCAGCAACAGCTCAAAGATATGGCTCGATCCCACCGCTAGACCAACTACCGTTCCCACCGGTTGCAATGTCTGACTTCCGATGGGTACCGGGTACCAAGTTCATGCACCCTTTTCCGCGCCACAATGACACGTCGGTGCCAAATTCGTGAAAAGGGTGTCACACCTTGAGCCAAAATGTCAAGGTGCGACAAACTAAACCCACCCTACCACCCTACACGACCAAATATGCTCCGTCCACAACGAGTTGTTCCCTCTCACAATGGAAGAACAGCCAGAGCGGCTATAGCTATGTCTGATGTCAAGAGGGTGTATGTGTGAAAGGTAACTCTGCTGTGTAAGTAGAGATCATGACGAGAATGGCAGGGAAAAGTTATGGGCAGCATGCCATATCAGCCAAGGCACATACTTGAGATCCATAAGTTTCCTTGCCGCCTCCTCAAAGGTATGTTCTTACATGGTGTTCTTTCTGAGCTGGAATCACCTTCAAAGAACTCATTGGGTCTTGTCTGCACATTTCTGGCAGTAAGTATCGGGCGCAAGCAGCTCTATCTGTGGCGTTGAGATCATTGGCGCCAACGCCCAGAGCCTTCCATCGAAAGAGGGTGTCGCACTACTATTCATATGTGCATTATTTTTATATGTTTATAAAGGTCTAGACCTTTAGATCTTTTCATGACTGGTTCTTTCTTTTTCTTTACACCTTTATCCAGAGAATTCCAAAGTCAAAAAGCAACTGCAAAGCCAAACATGCCCCTGGCCGTTCTGTTTGAGTCTTCATGCATACCCAGCACAAGCTCTGGTGACCCCCATTCCCAGGTGACCCCCATTCCCAGAGCCATCCTTGCAAGTGAAGTCAGCGGCACAAGTTGGTGATCTTGAGGTGGAAGAGAGTGTGTAAGAACCTTTGGAAAAGGCGCGAAGGGCAACAGAATCAAACCATGCGTGAGAGGAATTGTTGAAAAGGGAGGGTCGGTGTCTTTGTGGTTGTTTGGCGTTGAATTTCAGCCCTTAGACGTTGATGTGGACAACTGTTGAGGTTTGGTTGTTTATTGTTTTGGCCAAAGATCTGGTCATACTATGTTTCAGCAATATCCTACAAGCTGATCATTGCGGTCAGTAACCTTGTGTTTCACTCCCTCTACTCTCGTTATTCCATCTCAGCACTGGCTGTATTGCTGTGAAACAATAAAATCATGCCCTCCCATAAACGCTTTGATTCTGCATCAAGCAAGCATCCTGACACTGCGAATGTCATGCAACAACTTGAACCCGGTCAAAGGTTTGTTTTCCCCCTCTCCGGCATATAATCATAGTGTCTTCATCAATATGTTTCTATGAGAACTATTTGATGGCGCCGTTGGCTCGCGTCCAGCTCGACACGTGTTTGAGGCATTGAATTCATGGGTCCAATATCATTTTCGTGAAAATATGACCCTTTCTGAACGTCATTATCTATCGATGATTTTCTGCTCGTCTTTCGTTGCTATTTCACTCAGTAAGTCACTACTTATATGCCGCGATGAAGCGGTGGTGCTGTTGGGGTTCTCGACTCTTGCATAGAAATACACTTTGTCACGATATAATGTCTGGTCTGTCTCCTCAAATGGCCGTCGCCACATGATGCCTTGCTGTGCCTCAAGTCCCCAACTTAGAAAACACGCTGTCCGCCGTGCTTGCCTCTCCTTGCACTTCTGAGCGGGCAGACGATGGAACGAATGCGAGCTGAGTTGATGTGAGTGAGAGCTTGTCTTCCAATGAGTTTCCTGCTTAGAGATTGGAGATGTTGAAACTGTTTCCTCTACGAATTGCATTTTAAGGTTCACACGCAGATGAGCATAGAGCATCCTCTCCGGGTTATCGGGTTATTTTCCATTTGGGGGATCGTTTGCCCCGTACAGACGGTCACTCTTCAGATGTATGCAAAGCAAAAAAGGCACTACATAGCTGTCACAGCAGGATGTCTTGACTGTTGCATTTCTTGTCTCCCCACTTGTCTCCCAACTAAGCTGTCACGACATGGTGTCTTGCTCTGTTTTGTCTTCCCGCTCTTCTTCCCACTATGTTGCTCTTGTATGGATCTACGGTCAGAACATTTACTGTACTTGTGGTGCCCTTCAATTGATCATGCAGCTCAACAGAGTTCAGAAGACAAGGCGTAAATGAAAACTGTGTACAAAGACAAGGCGTGCATGATATTGTATAATCTATCAACAATCAAGCTTTGATACTCTTCATCTCGTTGATATTCTGTCCTATAATTGTTCCGACTATTATGAACTATAATTGTTCCGACTATTATGAACAACTCTCACACTTGGTCTGGCGGGCTTTGACAATTCACTCTTGACTGGGGACAAGTGCGCTGAGACTTTCAAAGAAGCCATTGTAAAATCTGTGCAAGAATCGGGCGTGAACCGGAGGAGGAAAGCAAAAACGTAAAGCAGTTCAATAAAATCAAACCAGCTTCCACAAATGTCCACGCCTTGGAATTTATGTTAGTTAGGTAGGGAGTTCTCCGAACAAGGATATCAGCACCAAGGATCAAATGAAAAATCACATGTCCCAGCAGCCCAGCAGCCCTACTTGGAAAGTTCACAATCTTCCTATTCCGCTGAGAATGGACAAAGAACAAAGTCCAACCCTTAAAACTAACATAACGCTGAAGCTCCCTGCAAGCATTGACTGTCCAAAGTTTGGGCAGTTGGCCACCTTGAGTTTAGTGCCACAAAGCAACTGGTCATGGTGCTGAGGAAAGCATTGATTCCACTCCTTACAGAGTTCCGGAGGCAGACACATCTTTCAGAGCAGGCAAGCAGTCAAGTTCAACCTCAAAACTGGTGAGGATTCCAGGAGACTCCAGCTCTTTCTCCAAAAAGAAGTAGAAAACAATCCAAAAGGCTCTCCTATCGCCAACAACTGCACTTCGCTGGTTCTGAAAACTCCAACAAGTGGTTGTCGGAGCCTCAGAAGTGAATCTTTCGATTTACAAACCTGATTTCACACCTGTAGAGACACATGTGAGGATATACCACGTTTCACCTTTTTCGCCGGTTTTCGGATTTAAGGGATCAGCAATCTATCAGTTTTCAGACAAAGCTGATCCAATCGACTTCTGCAATGAGAAAAAAAATACGTAAGCTGGAAAATACATTCAGGAAGTAAATGCAAAGTGAAAAAGTACTTGTTGTAGGCCATCGCTATTAGGTTAGAGGCCATCGCTAGTAAGTTGGAGGCCATCGCTAGTAGGTTGGAGGGCATTACAAATAGGCCATTGCTAGTAGGTTGAAGGCCATCGCCAGCATATAGGTTGCAGGCCATCGCTATTAGGTTGGAGGCTATCGCTATTAGGTTGCAGGCCATCGCCATTAGGTTGGAGGCCGTTGCTATTAGGTTGGGGCCATCGAGTGCAGTCCATGCTCGGTTCAGGTGGGATGTTCTTTAGATGGCAGTGAACGAGTTCCCGTCCAGATCGGTGAAGGCGCGTACACAGTCGGGGAGTCCTAAAGCTTTCTTCCGGAAGGCTCGCAGCGCTCAGTTGGGAAAATTCCTTTCAACCGATTATCTGCTGCTCCTTGAGGGAAGACAGCAGAGGTGGCACTCTGGCGCAGGATTGCCATCAAAAAGGATAATCCCAAACAATTGCACACGCTCTCCAGAAAATCATGCACTTGCATTTTCTAGGACAAAACCTTTGCTGGACCGCTTCAAGCAAACATGCTTGGGACCAAGTATGTTCACTACGTTAAAAATGATGCTGGAAATGCTACTCTTGCCTGTAAGCACTGTCGAAATGATCACAAAGAAAGAGCTGTTTGTTCTTGAAGACTCGCCAGGTTGGCTGGTTTCCAATTCTGCCAAGTTTCACTGGTTCTCCTTCTTTGGGCAATCCAAGATTCATGGGGATTGTCTCTGAGGTACATCTGGCTGATGACGCAATGAACGGTGCGATTTCGGAGTTCAGGAAGATGCCCTGAAGATAGGAAATCTTGGAACGGAGGATATTCGTCTCTCGTCAAGCACACGTGGGTCCTGATAATCTGGATCGCTCTCCCACGCATATGAGGTCGAAGGCACCCTCAGTGGATTTTGGCATGAGTTTTCTACTTCCAGTGGAATGCACTGCACAGAACTTTTGAGGATGAGGATTGACACTCACTCACTTGCTTACTCACTCACTCCCTCCCTCCCTCCGCCCTTCCCTCCCTATCTATCTATCTATCTATCTGTCTGTCTGTCTGTCTGTCTGTCTGTCTGTCTGCCCGTCCGTCCGTCCGTCTGTCTGTCTCTCTCTCTCTCTCTCTCTTCCTCTCGTTCAATTGCAGGACATGTTGCATTAACGAGTCCAAAGCAACAGTTTGCCTCGGCTAGTCAGGCAGTAAACTAGCAAGCGCTGCGTCAACCCCATGTGCTGTCAGCACAATATTGAGGTTTGCAACAATGCGCGAGAACGTCTTTTCAACTTCAGCCTGCTTAAGACCCTACCAAAGGCTTTTTACACACATTCTGCGCTTGACAAGACCCGTTAAGCAAGCATGAAGCATGTCTCAAGTAATTGGTCCTTGATCCGACACAATCCGAAGGGCAAAATCCAATGTGCATGCAGCCTGTGTCTCCATGTCTGTGTATTTACTGCAAGCTGAAAACGTTGTTCAACGGCTGTTAAATCAACCTGCACTGCACTTCAAGGTATTCTAAGCTTCAACATCCTATCGATGTTGGTCCTGGACCTGGAAGACATTCTTGTCTTAATAGACTCAGTTTTAATGGAGTTAGTTTTGAAGTGATGGCCCCCCAGCCCTCAAATGGAGTGCTCCAAAATTGAACCATGGTGGCTTGGCCTTTCGTCAAAATGCTCACCCACTATTCCCGGTTAAATGCTTTCCTCAAAATGCAAACCAAAGTGCAACATGCTTTTAAGCGTCACAAATTCCGCCGAGCCCGCAATGCCGGCACCACCGCCACTGTTCACAGTTGCGCCGATTTGGTCAAACTGCGAAGTAATTTGGTCCTGATCAAGCACAACTTCAGACGTTGTAGAAAATGTTCACGCAAAATGTCGACCAGCAAAGAAAGTGCTTTGAATGGTAAGAAGAGTTGACAAGGCTTAATGCCAGTCAGCAGAAGCTTATGGCATCTGCATGAGCAGCTATACTTGGAGGCCCTGGTTTCAATATGGCCGCTCATGTTAGTGGCGCTCGAGGTTGAAAGGCTGGAACAATTGTTTAGATATCATTTGTAGGCTTCCTGACGTGTCTCCAACGAAGTCGTGTTCAAGGTGCAGGCATGATACTTGTTTCCAAGGTTGATGCACACTTATGTCTATGCCAAAAGCTCCTTCATGGTATGATATCACTGCAGACAAGTTGATTAAAACCGGACACTATGGATCCAGTGCTCCAAATGCATTGGGGAGTTTAAGCAGCGCACAGGGCAACCAACCCACGAGGTCCAACACATTTGCAAGTGTTGCTTCATCAGCAACCTCAGGACTGTCAGATTGATTGGTGTGATCCTAAAAGTGTGAAGAACTCAGCAAAAGGTTCTTAGAAAAAGGGCAGAGGGCACAAACTGACAATCTCTACCAAAAAGAGCTGATGATTCACTCTGCCAGCGACCTGTCTTTGATGGAGCTTGTCTGCAACAACAGGGTAAAGATTTGTACCAGATTCTTTACAGCCTAGCTGGATAGTTTCAAGCTTGTAGCAAAGATTGCAACTATATACGCAAATACTTCGCAGTATGTCCAAATATTCAAACGCGTTCAAAACACAAGGCATAATGGCAGTGACACGAGACGTTGATGCGCATCAACGTGCACCGAGATGCATTTCATTGTCACACAAACAGCAACAAAAAAGTATGTATATAGTTTCCAAAAATGACAAGAATATGAATGCCTAAACAGCACCCTGCACGCCCTGATCAAAGTTGCCTTGTTAAACGGACATGCTGCATAAGAAATGTCGATGAGCAAGGTTGTGACTATTCAATAGCCACTATTGAATATATTGTATTACATTATATATATAGTTTGGATCCAAGCCTGATTGCAGCTTGACTTTAGGCAAACAAAGCGGTCGTGCCTTTCAATGTCCACAGAGTCCCAAGCTGGCAAATGACATCATGTCTTGTGTTGGCTCCTGGGTCTGCACCACAAGCAAGTCATACATGGTCGTTGGGTTGCCGTTCACATCGTCAACTGTGATAAGGTCCAAGAGCCTCAGGTCCGGAGAGAAAGGAAGCTAAGTTCTGTGTTTCTTTTGCTTTTCCTTGTTTTTGTTGTTTCTTTTTTCGATTCCTAGACTTTTTTGGCAAGTGGGCGGTCGTCCTTTGTCCCATCTTTTCTCTTCTGTTTTTACAGCACAAAAAAAAGAAACACTTCCACTTGCCAATATGCCTAAACCAAGGAGCCGTGGATTTCCACTGGCATTTTTGAGGCATTGATCAATCATCTTTCCCATCATGGCACCTGGCTCAAAGAGGGCTTGCTGAAAGCTTGCAAAAATCTTGAAGATGAAGATCATCAAATGTCATCAGGTATGAACAACAGACAAAAACGAAAGAAACAGAATGTCTTTCTTTCCATTCACATGCATTCGCACTCGCAGTTCCAACCTTGCTCCCCAGACATGTCTACCTCCATAACGCCTGAAATATCGGTCAGGAGTCCACCTGGCGTTTTATCAAACAACGGTTGAAAACAAAGTATCTTGCATAGCATCCTTGTTCCTACCGGGTTCCCGGTAGTAGCTTCTTGCTCCTAGTAGCGATGCCAGGAGCCCCTAGTAGCGTCCATGCTCCTAGTAGAAGCTGAATCAAACGCACCGAATTCTCGACAAGCCGATCTTGGTGTGAGGCTCCCACTGGAGATGTCCTCCATAATTAGGCACATGGATGCCAAGGGGACAGCCAGAATCGTCAGGAGCCCACCCAAAAAGAATGCCAGCATCGTGTAGTAACAACCTAATGCAATAAAGACAGACGAGATTTCGAAAATGTCTAGACAAACGTCCTGATGCAAAGGTCCTTCTGGAATGGAACGCTTCGTGGTGAAAAAACCGTGGATCTTTTTGCGTTTCCCTGCTCCTCAAAATGAAAAGTGTGACTTCCAGAGTTTGTTGTCAGGAACACTTCATAGAGGGGCCTTAGGTCAGCACATGATGTGCCTCGCGACGAGGGAAATTTACATACTGGATGATGATCCTGTTTAGGTCAAGTGGAGAAGGCTTCTACAAGTAGTTCCCGGGCAAGCCGGCGGCGGAAGTTTCATATAAGAAGAAATTGACCTATAGGAGTGTCCACGTTCTCTACAACATGCGCGTCCTCCAGTCAAACGCACGCGCTCCGGACTTTTGACCCACGGGATTCCACGTGTGTAAGGTGTGTGCCCCCTGCAGGATCAGCAGCTCACAACAGCGTACTGGGTTGTATCTTTGCCACGACAAGAGGGGTGTATGACGAGTGGTGTATGTTGAGTGGTGTATGATGAGTGGTGTATTGACCAGCAGTTGAATGTCCTGTCCTGCATAAATGCAACCAAATACTATCAGTATGAACTGTGCCAAACTTGCATGCCGCGAGAGATGGCTCAGCAGCGAGAGATGGCTATAGCGAGAGCTGACTCAGCAGCGAGAGATGAGTGAGCAGCGAGAGATGACTCAGTCGCGAGAGATGACTCAGCAGCGAGAGATGACTCCTCCGCGTACTACACTTGTACTACAACGTGGCCAGTTCTCAGCTTCCAGCTCCACAGGTTGTTCCGCGTGCTAAAGTTGTACTAGAAAGTCGCCAGTCAGTTCTCATCTTCCAGCTCCCCAGATGCTCCGCGTACTGCAGTTGTACTACACAGTCGCCAGTTCTCAGCTTCTAGCTGCACAGATTGCTCCGCGTACTAAAGTTGTACTACAAAGTCGCCATTTCTCAGCTTCCAGCTCTACAGATTACTCCGCGTACTAAAGTTGTACTTGAAGGTCGCCAGTTCTCAGCTTCCAGCTCTACAGATTGCTCCGCGTACTAAAGTTGTACTAGAAAGTCACCAGTTCTCAGCTTCCAGCTCTACAGATTGCTCCGCGTACTAAAGTTGTACTAGAAAGTCGCCAGTTCTCAGCTTCCAGCTCCACAGATACTCCGCGTACTAAAGTTGTACTACAAAGTCGCCAGTTCTCATCGTCCAGCTCGCCAGATACTCCACGTACTAAAGTTGTACTACAAAGTCGCCAGTTCTCAGCTTCCAGCTCTACAGATTGCTCCGCGTACTAAAGTTGTACTAGAAAGTCGCCAGTTCTAAGCTTCCAGCTCTACAGATTGCTCCGCGTCCTAGAGTTGTACTAGAAAGTCGCCAGTTCTCAGCTTCCAGCTCTACAGATTGCTCCGCGTACTAAAGTTGTACTAGAAAGTCGCCAGTTCTCAGCTTCCAGCTCCACAGATACTCCGCGTACTAAAGTTGTACTACAAAGTCGCCAGTTCTCA